TGTGTGTGTGTGTGTGTGTGTGTGTGTGTGTGTGTGTGTGTGTGTGTAGAAGGCTCACATACTTACTTATTGTATTGCTTGAGAATCATATGTATTATTAGAAAACAGATTCAGGGGAAATTTCATACAATTTACAGTCCTTTTTTTCATAATCTATAAATGTATCTAGCAGATACATTGCTGTACATCTTGCATGTTCACTTATCCATCATTTTCTAAACTTGATAATTTGGGGTAATTATCTGTAGCTCCTATTGTAAGATAGATATTTGTTTATAAGTTTTAGAAGAAACTTTTTGAATGCATAATATTATTTATAGATTTGATTTGGTATTATGGTTAACATTAGTGTTAATATTTAAACACTTTATTTTGGTTTCCTCTGATAATCTGAATCTTAGAAATTTAAATAAAGTTAAAATATATATTTTAGAGATTTTGAGCCATGGTGGCACAGTAGTTAGGGTGCAGCTACTTCTGCTGACTGCCAGCTGCCTGCAATTTGGCAGTTCAAATCTCACCAGGCTCAAGGTTGCCTCACCCTTCCATCTTTCCGAGTTGGTAAAATGAGGACCCAAATTGTTGGGGGCAATATGCTGATTCTGTAAAACTGCTTAGAGAGTGCTGTAAAGCACTGTTAAAGCAGTATATATGTCTAAGTGCTATTGCTAAGTGCTATTGCTATTTGAAAAACATTTTAAATAGTTAAAAGTGTATTCCAGGATAATGAAATATGTTTGTTTGAAGTACATTGAACTCACTCATTACCATTTATAGAATGCAAAATTTTATCTGATAAATACAAAATTTATTCAATATTTCTGTATATTTATTTATGAAATTACATGCACATCCAGACCTCTGTATGTATGCTTTTAAATGAACTAAGCATGAATTGAAAACTCCAAAACTCCTTTTATTCTCTTGTCATATTTGGTAATTTTAAAACAATCACATATTTTTCTCCTTTGCAACAATCCACTTTTAATAATGAGCATGATCTCTTAAGGATGCATTATTATGAAATATACGATTTTGAAAAAGGCAGGCAAGATCTGAAGTTTAGATTTACAATCTGCAACGTGTTTACATTGATGTTAGGCTCTGCCGTCAAAGAAAACATTTTTTTAGCACCACCTGTTGGCATTAAAGGAAAAATGAACTGAATTCCATCAAAATTTAATCTTATAAATAAAATAAATTACTGAGTTATATATCTAACTCTCACACAACTGATTTTAAGTAACCAATATTATGCAGAGTACAGAAGAGGAATACTATGGCAAATAAATTAAAGGAATGTGATGAAAAGAAAATGTAATTAAGTCTAGTTTACCAACATCATTCACTGTACCTCTCAATCTTTTTATTTTTGCAAATCATCCTTCCTTTTATCACATCTCTGCACTGCTTCATATACTGTTTTTTGTTCTTTAAATACCTTGCCTTTAATTATGTTTAATTTTAAAAGAAGGCTGTTGTAATTCAATACAAAGTAATTTTGAAAAATACTATTATTTTTACAATAATAATCATTTTAATGCCAGTGAGAGTTAAAAGGGACAGAGACAGTACTATAGATATGAACATAACAATAAGTTCATTTATATGCAGATAAAAATGAGTATATAAATTGAGCTATTTGCATAATTTTACAGCTGTATTAATTCATTCATGATATGAAAAATTCCTGCAAGGTACTATAATCTTGCTGATGATCTCTTTTTGGCTATTATTAACATATTATGGGCTAACACACAGTTATGCTTACTGTAGCCTGCTGGAAAGTTTCACGATCATCTCCGCCTCTCTCCTTTTGAAGGTGAAGGGGGCAATGTGATTACTACCCATTGTTGCTTGAGTATCACTTCAGCCAGGAAAAGGATTATAAAAATGACAGGAAAACACAGTGCTGTTACCATATAATGCAAGAACATGCATAGATAGTCACTGAGAAGAAAGCCTGCTTCAGACAAAATATACACATTATCTTCTTTATTCTTCCACTTGAAAAATAAAAAAGACACTATAGTATATAAATTAATTTGAAAGCCTTGTTAAAATCAATGTACATTAAACTGCAGTGCGTTAAATAAAAGCAAAATGTGAGGCTTACTCGAAAGTAAGTCATATGGAAATCTACTGAACTAAGCAAATTCATTACATTTTAATTTCCAGTGAAGTATCTTTAGTTATCATATGAATGAACTACAATTGAATTGTTTATGAACTGATAAACTATCTCAATGACGTATTGTATTTTTTCACATTGTTTCATATTTTGATCTCACTGCTTATGTCTTGGATCAACCAATGAATAGTAACTATAATTTGATTTTTAGGGTGGAATGGATTTAATTCAGTTTGAAACACTGAAGAAGCTGGAGATATCTTCATTTGTCTGCTCATTCAATAGTTTCTTGAGGAACAAATAAGTATTTCCAGATTCTATTCCTTCATTGACATTTCCAGATAAGAAATCTACTATAACTCTAATATTCTCTAATGAAGGAGCTGGAATAAACTTTTGGAGGGGGGGGGATATTAAGAATCCTTCCATAAAAATAGAGAGGAGGTAATGCACATAGAAATGACTATATAAAAATCTCCTGAACCTTCTGCTTAGTAAGTATAAAAAGATAGTTAATGCTTCTTTTTATGTTTCTTGAGAATTGTTTTTAAATAAAATCCAACTAGAGGCTTAAAAAGAGAGAGAATAAGCACTTATGTTATATTATATCATATTGGGAATTTTAACAGGAGGAGAGTGTGTGGGAGAATCCAATGATCCTTTCTGGAAAATGTTTAATATGTATATGAAAAACTCAATTTTGAAGCAACTTGTCCAAAGATAAGCTAAAGATTACTACAGCAATTGTTGTGAGCCGCCCAGAGTCCCTAGGGAGTGGGCGGCATACAAGTCTTATTAAAGTTGCAAAGTTGCAAAGCAAGATTGATATATCATTTAGAGAGAGTCATCACAATTCCTAAAATGATACATTTGAATCTGTCCTTTCAAATACTGAAATTCATGAAATATAGTAATTAAGCTATCTAACCCTGCATTCTCAACTGTTTAAGACAAAGTAATCAACTTTAATTGTTTCAGCAGTAATCATTGTTAATTTGATAATTGCATATAATTCTTAAAAGGAATTTACTGCAAATATATTTTTCAGACACAATAGAAGATTTCACTTTATTCCTTATTATCATCACTTTTAAAAAGTGGGAATACAGTTGCTTTAATCCTTGAAATGTGCATAACTTATTAAATTATTTTTTTCTCCTTTCATGAGAAAAATAATGCCAGTTATCTAGTTAGAGTTCCAGAATATTTTGTCATAATTCTACAGCACAGCTCAACAGATTCTGAGCGAACATGTGGCATTCAAAAGGAATACTGAAAAATTACAAGGTTAAAATGTATCACTAACCTATTTTTATTTTATATATAAAAATATTAGATATGGCCCAGATTAATGCCACATCTCACCTGTTATAGCTTAATGAAAGCAGAGTCACTTTTAATTTGAACTGCAACAAGAGGATCTAAAGGGATTATTAACATCTGAGAATTCCTATACCATCTTGCTGCCAATAATCAAAGCCTTTATACTTTTTCATTATAATTATTTATTGTTTTGATATATTAGCCTGACCAAATTAATTTTATTTTAGCAAGCCAACATTAATTAGGGGTAACATTTCTTTGTACAAAATTATTGCCCTTGGGTAATCTGACCAACTCTGTATCTGAAGAGAAACTAACAGCTTTTAGAAAAAAGCTCAAAAGTTGGCACTTACAAACCAAAGTTTAAATTCCTATATTATCTCTTGCCCTTTTATTATGATTAGTTCAATAGTGTTAAGCAAAAATAGAAAACATAAATGACTTAATAGCAATTATGAAATGATGATCGAAAATAAATTTTGAAGTAATGCAGCCAAACCAAAAATCTAATGAATTCTAAAGACCAGAGATTCAATTTAGATACTGCAGCTAGACCACAATACATAAGATGAAGCTACCTTGGAAGAAAGGTGCATAAGTATTTCCATGGATTTCCAGCATGATTCTGCAAATAGCTACATAGTATGTTTCTAGATCCCACCTCTGAATTTATGCTGAAATTAAGGGCTTTATGCCCTATGCTTTAAAATTTGATAGCAATGAAATAGAAAGCAAGAAGCATTATTAGTATTTCCATATTCTGTTTTCAATCTAATTCATCATAGCTTCTTAAATTACCAATAGTAAAGATATAAATGCATTTTCTGTCACAAACTCATATCACTATTACAGCAGTATGTGTTAGTGTAGTTTCCTTTTTTCTGTATATATATTCTAAACATTATGTTTTCTATATATAATATTCTATATTGATCTACTATCTGTCCAGCCATCAAAATAATTTATTAGTATATTTTATTAAAGAGTGATTACAAATCTATCTGTATCTGTATTGCAGTCAAGCAACAGATCCAAAATATATATAAATATGAGAAATGATACTAAAGTAATACAGACCTTATATGAATCCTCACATAGTGGAGGATTGCCTATATTAAGAGTGGATAGTGAAACTAGCAATGGAAAAGTAAATTATGTTTAAAGAACATGAACTGTCAAACCATAAAGCCCAGAAATGCGGGGGGAGGGGGGGGAGAGAGATCTACTCTAGATACTATGTAAAGTAATTCAGAAAATCTAACTCAGAACGATTCTGAGCACATGCTAATAATCACATCTGAAAAATATTAAAATATAATAAACGATAATAATAAAATACCTTTGTCAAATTCAGATTCTGAATCAATACAGATATATATATAGCATTATAATTACCAAGACAACAAATAAAGTAATATTTGCAATGCAAAACAAAATATAACTTCTCAAGATGAAACAAAAAATAACATACTAACCATATTTACTGACACAGCCAAATTTAATAAGTGTATTTTTAAATAATGACTTTTAAAGTAGATATATTTCTATATATAAGAAGAAATGAATTTTTAATAGAAAGTATCCATGCCTCCTAAGCAGATCTAAATTTTGCAGCTAAGAAAATATATCTATAATATTTTTAAAGAATATACACATCACTTAATACTTCCTTCTCCATTATCCTGAAAGAAACAAAGATTAACAATTCAAACCTCCAGTATGGTGCAGCTAGAAACAAATCCCTACTTCATAGAAGGAACCATTCTATCTGAGCTTTCCTATAAATGGAGTGACACATTATTTCACAAGAATTATCAATATAGTTGTGTGGAACTGAAGTTCAATTTAGAATCAATAGAAGCAATTAACTGTTTAAAGAAAAGCTAGAAGACCGGAAAGTAAATTTAAACTAGTTACAGTCTTGGTCTCTCTGTCCATAGTCTTTTATATACTAATCTGAATAATCAACTTAAAACAGTTCAAAAATACTAACCATAAAAGTTTTCAAAAGGTATGTGAAAATTGTCTAGATGAAAAGGCCTTATTTGTTAACTTTATTCCTAAAAATAAAAGTAAATTATGGACATATGACAAAAGTATTTAACATTGAAGACTTCAGTGCAATTATACAAATATATACACAGAAGCAGGCCCACTGAATTCAGTGGAACTTGTAATCAGATAATTGTAATTTGTAACCTAAATTTCTCAAAGTAGGAGAAATCTATAAGGCAAGAAAAATGATACAATGGGTCTGATTATTACCCAGCACAATTTATATCATACAAACTGTCACAGATTATGGAATAGATTTGTTCACTGAAGAGGAATAACAATACTGTATTTATGTCAAGCACCAGTTATACAGGAATTAGATTGGAACCATCTGAAATTCACTATAGTCTTCGAATGTTAAATACTACAGAAAAAGCTTTTTTCCATTTTCTATTTTGATAATACCATTTAGCATTAAGAACATAGCAGTTATCTCCAGCAGCATAAGTGAAATTGAGGATGCCGGGATTTGAACCTAGAAGCTGTTATGACAAAAAGCCACTATCACAAAGAGAAATTCAATTTGGAAGTCACTGGATGAAAACATCATTGGTAAAGAAAATCTCTAGAACTGACAAATAAATAAATAAATTCTTGTAAAGAAAAAAGAAGCACACTGCGAAAAAGGCACAGAAAATTGGAAAATATGAGGCCAGTGTGAAAAGACTGAAGCCTGGAGATTTCATATATCTTATTATAGGAAGTAAATCCTAAAAAAAATTGACAGACAAATCTAAAAGAGAAATTTGAAATTCTTTTAAATATATTTTTTAGAATAATGTTTTCTAACTTTTGGATCTCATCATTTAAATATATTCTTATGTTGACTTCATTATGAGGAATACATCTTTTCCTCACCTCTTGTTATTTTAGCAGTAATAGTAATGTTACTATGTGACTAGATATAGATCTATAGATATCTATTCAGTTCTAGATATGGAACTGAAACAAGGTAGAACAATAAAATTGCTGTTTGTGGAAAATGAAAAACTCTAAACTATAAGGGAAAAAAGCACCAATCCATTCAATAAAGCAGAAGCATTTCATATTGCACAGTAAAAACACTTGAGGAATTTAAATATATAAAGACTCATACACACTTCCTCAATAAACTTCTGAATTCTTAAAATAAAATGTAAAGAATTCCAGATTTTACTACACCTGCAGCCTGAGGAAACAGATCAGATTTCAATATATGTCCTACTATATTAAATGTCCAACTGTTTTATACATGTGCCAATTTTACTTATGAACATAAGGCTATTTTGGTACCTCTTTCTTAAAAACTTAATAAATCTAGTAATTCCTGGAAATTTGTATTTTATCAAGGTTTATTTTTTAAAGAATTTTTGGGGGGGAAATGAAATGCCTCAGTTGTATCTTTCATAAATATATGTAGAAAGTAAGAATATAATGAACTTGAAAAATAGAAGCATGAATCAATTTACTCAGTTAACGAAATTAATCATAAGAGAATATTTCAATGAAAAATAGCATGGGTTTTTAAGTACATTCCTAGTTTCAATAGTTTGAATCTTAAAAAGCAGTATATTCTTAATTTCTTAAAATACATGGTAGGTAGACAGAAGATTTAAAATCTCAATCCAAATAAATGTTTTTGTGATTTGAATTAAATATATGTGAGACAATAGTTCTAGACAATACTTCTGGCTTTATACTCACATGTGTGGATTCTGAAAAGGAACTCCAGGGTTCAAAGTAAATCGTGCAGTGGATTTGAAAGGTGGGTTTGCAAAATTCAGCTTCAGTGCTCTGCGCTTACCTGAGGAAAAAACACAAACTCTGGTCGGGAAGAGAACATAGATTACTATATTAAAAACATAAAACAGGAAGCATAATAATCTCTTCCTTGCTACATTTTGGATTAGCACGAAACAATTTTGATGACATCTCACAAAAACAGTTGGGTTCTCATATTTAGCATCAAGTTATGTTGCTCAAAACAAATCTGCACCTGATAAGTAACTTGATTGCTCTAGATTATCTTTCATTGGCGTATTAAATAAATTTCATTATATTCAGAAGTAAATAGTAAAGGTATTCAATTTGGATTTTCAATAATATGATTATAATGTATCAACTATATATAAAAACCAAACACCAACTGATTGAAATTATGAGATGTAGAGTGTAGAACATATGAGAGCAAATAAAAAAAAAGTAGATCACAAGTGAATTACAAATATTTTGAGCAATCAATCACAAAATCTGACTGAGATTTCTGGCAAAGGAGAACAACATTCTGTTGCCATTTCCTGATGGGTGGCATGGGATTCAAAAAACAAGAAAAAGTGTGTATTTCACTATAGTTATAGTGTGTGTGTTACAGGTAAAAATATACACATTGAATAAAGCAATTTGTAGCTTTTACCTAAAATGTCTAGGCCATAAATTATAGTTCATAAACCATAAAATTCCAAACCCAAACCAAATAAATTTAGTGTTTTGTGGGAATTATTAATACCTATAATTGCTGAGAAAAAACATTTGAATGTGGCAGGTTGTTGTTCTCGTGGCCAATTAATATAGGAAATGTGAAATTCCAGAGTAAAAAAAAATACTGTATTTCTGACTTAGAAGCTAGGTCTTGTGTGAAGAACTTCCTAAACGTGGCAGTGCATTCATGTGGATATGCAAAAGGCCTTTCCACTGGGATTGCTGCAAAAATGGAATTTTTACCACAGCTGCAAAGAATTTCGTGCCATAGCATTTTAATCAGTGGCCTTGAAAATGAACAAAATGTTCATATGAAACATGGCATAGTACAATATAATATATGACATGTAATTCCTGGCATAGTAATATATATTGTGAACATAGTCAAGTGCCTGGTGCATTTGCTAAAATTGAATGTACATGTTCCTTGAGAGAGATTTAAATCCACAGTAACATTAAACATGCCCATAAAGCACTTTACTGCCATATACCTTTTAATGAAATATAGGTACCGTATTTTTCAGAGTATAAGACGCACCCAGATTTTGAAGAGGCAAATTTTTAAAAAAGTTTTTGCACTCTGCAGACTCCCCAAAAAGGGCCCATTTTTGTCAAAAAAAAAAGGGCATGCATAGGAGGCTTATAGTGTGCTACTGGGGGCTGGGGGGCAAAAACGAAAAACAGCCTGTTTTTCACTTATTTCTGCCCTCCCCCGCCCCCAGGAGCATTCTGGAAGCCTTCTAAAGGCTATGCATGGCCATTTTGGTGAAAGGGGCAGGGTTTTGGGAGACAAAAAATGCTGTATTCAATATATAAGATGCATCCAGATTTTCACCCTCTTTTTTGAGGGAAAAAGGTGTGTCTTATACTCTGAAAAGTACGGTAATCGTTGACTTATGACAATTGAGCCCCAAATTTCCATTACTAGGCAAGACAAGTAAGTTGTGAATTTTGCCCCATTTTGCCACTGCAACTGTTAAGTTACTAACATGGTTTTAAAGTGAATCTGGCTTCCCCATTGACTTTTCATAATTGATGAAACTCTATCAACAAAGCATAAATGTGGACAAAAGTAGGTTTAGATTTAATAGAGACAGATTTGGTGACAGCAAGAGCTGTGGAGCCTCTCTTTCACTGGAGATCATTAGTTTGAGAGGCTAAATGGGCAAAATGCTTTAGCACTGTGATGGCGAAGCTATGGCATGCAGGTGGCATGCGGAGCCATATCTGAGGGCATGTCAGGCATTGCCCTATGGTAGTGGCCAGCTGATTTTCGACCTTCCAGAGTGAGGGGGAGGCTATCTTGACCCTCCCCAGGCTTCAGGAAAGCCTCCTGAGCCTATGGATGGTGAAAAATGGGCCAGAAACGAACTTCCAGTCGGCCTGTTGGGCTGTTTTTCGCCATCCACAGGCTCCGGAGGCTTTCTTGAAGTCTAGGGAGAGTGAAAAATGCCCCAACAAGCCTACTGGAAGTCTGGAGGCTTCAGTGAGGCCTGCACACATGTGCAGGAGGACACGGGGGGTTGTGCACCTATGCGCTGGATGGGAGGGCATTGCATTATGGGTGTGGGCACGCATGCACATGCTATGCTCTTTTGGCACCTGAGCAGAAAAACATTTTTTATCACTGCTTTAGTAGATCCCGCACTGTAGAAAAGGGATCCCTCACTATAGAGGATCAGAAATATTGAAATATGAGGAATATATAAAAATGCAAAAGGATTCAAAACTTTTTAAGTACTACTGTACATTTTATTACATTGGTCCTTAGAAAATCCTCTGAACAAATGTATGATGTAACTGGGAACACTCAGCAGGTGCAAATAATACTATCTTTACAGACGAACCAATAAATAACACATGAAATAGTAGGAAGAACAATAACAAATGGGAGCCATGGGGCAGAATAAAAGGAAGATAACATGAATCTTGCAGAACTTATATTGAATTAATGGAGAAATCCAGATATATTACATTTCTGAAGAAACCTCTATCAAGATTTTTTCATAGTGATTGACTGAATAAAGGAAGAAGTGAGAAAACTAGCCCTTCATTAGTATGGTTAAATGTTTGCTTTACTGCTCTTCATTTATGTCTTTCCCTTGCCTTATGCTCATATGACATAACAGAAGTACAGAACATGATTTATTTGTTATATATCCCTAAATAAAACTTTTCCTTACAATCCGTCACTTTTTGTAATAAGGAAAAAATTTGGGCCAGATAGCATACAGAAATTGTAACAAAATTCAAAAAGATTGGGTTTAATAATATGCATATGTGTGTGGGTTAATAGTGTGTGTGTGTGTGTGTGTGTGTGTGTGTGTGTGTGCGCGCGCGCGCGCATGCGTGTACAGAAACATAATCTCCATCAAAAAATAATCTGGGAAAAGAAGAGACATTCTTTCCATGCTTAAACTGGATTTTTTATAAAACTAGGAGATGAAAAATGGTGGTTTAATAAGCAAACTGATCAGAATTAGGATGCTACTTTGAAGTTTTTTTTCTAGTGCACTAGGAAATGTTCTCCAACTATATACATATTTTAAATAAATATACCTTTATCTTTAATCTTTTTTTGTTTTTAGTTAATATTTTACAATGTACTATATATTGTTTTTATATACTATATGCCACCCAGTCATGTTTTGTGACACAGCTATATGTATTTGTTAAATAAATAAATTTGAGGAAATGGTTGTATATGATGTCCCCTTCTCAAGTGAAATATTAATAAAATTTCATAGGCTTTTATCTTTTGCTTTTTTGTGGTTAACCTTGAATGTGAAATTTTTATCTCTTTTCAGCTTCCACAAAAAAATCACAAAGGCTACTGTATTTAAATGGAATAATGTTCTATTTAACTGGTTTAAATCAATTTCTAAAGGTCTTTGGAAATGGTAAATTTATTCCATACACTATAGAATATATTGTATAAACAGAATAAAATGCACAAAAAAACTGAAAAAAGCTGTAAAAAACCCACAAAACAATATTTCATGGCCAGACAGAATTGATGAGCTTTCTTAACTATGCAAGCTCTTGCTATGTAAATTATATCCCCAAATATAATTTAATAATTCAAATTATTTAGTCCTCATGCCTTCCTTCTGGTGAACAATAATACCAATGCTAATGTCATTTTCAATGTCTTGCTCCTAAGAACAGGACATCCATAAGACTCAGATTGACAACTGGGGGGGGGGGGTACCTATGGTGGTATACAAATATTAAGTCAATAGAACATAATAACTAGAAAATAAAGAGAAAGATTGCAACTGAAAATCTTATTTTATACTAACATCTTATTGGAAGGTGCCACAACTTAATGCTAAAATTCAAAGTTTCTAGCATAGATAATAATCAGAAATAGGGAAAGGCAGAGGAACTCATATCAGGGGCAAAGAGGAAATTTGCCTTTAATCATTTGTTTCTGCTTTTAACTCAACCAGGAACCTACAGCTGCTACTTATACCAAGAGGGAAACCTTTCTCAAAAGAAATTGTGGCCAAGTCCTTTTGTCCATTTCTCTTGCTCTAAACAAAGATTGTAGCATAAGCAACAGGTCAAAAATTGTCCATCCCATGGACCCAAATCTTGATCTTGGACCATGCAGTTCCTATTTACTTTAAAGAACTATTCAGACAATTACCAGCTACATCAATTATGCTTTCCATATAACTTGTCTAAGAACTCAGGTTTGTAACCCATGTAGACATCACAGTCTGTAAGAAGGACAAGAGGAAAACAGTATTCCATAGAACAATGGTTGTCTTGTTGGAACAGAAAACAACATAAGACACCCCCCCCAAAAAAAAAACTATGTAAATTTTCTTAACACTTTACTTCAGCTTTCTACTTTCTTCTGCAGCAACATCTTTTCCATATCCTGCATCTCAAACTAATTAATCAAAGGAAACACAGTATGATCGTGAGTAATGTTCTAACTTATTGGTTGAAAGATGCTTTATTAGTCTTTGTACTTCTTGCCTATAATGAAAGATCCTCTTCAGAAATCTCAGAGATAAAATTCTGTCACAAATTACTGAACATCCACAATTATTGCAGAAGCATTTACCACTTCTAATTTAAATAGGCATTTATTAACTTTAAAAAAAACGTATAAATTAAATGCAGGATGAATATGTTTAAGTAAGTTTACCCAACAGAGAAAAAATTGCGTTCTTCAACAGAGTTCCCACTACATCATGGCAGGCAATTATAAAGATATAATGTACATAGCAATTAAAAATGAAAGCCATGAGAGGATGAAAAAATGGAAAAAAAATGGTGCAGAGCTTCCATTAATCATCCAAATGCAATCTGACAAGGACTGATTAAAATATCTAAGCCTTGTAGACATTTTAGACTCGTGGCATACACTCTTGTCGTGTTTCCACATCATTCTGAGGTAGATAAAAATTATACAAATGATATTTTTTCTCATCTTCACACACTTTTTAAATATTGGGACGTTATATTCATATTCAAGGATAGGACAGATTGAGCATGGTAGATGCTTTCATTGTTGGCTACATACATATATATATATAGCAAATGTTCATACTGGAAATCTTGTTCTCTACATTCTCTAAATCCTAGTCTCTCAAATATGGGCTCTTGGAATGTAACAACTTCTGTCAAGTGGAAAGTTTTTATAAACAGAAGAAATTGTCCCCTACAAATGATGGGTGATATGAAAAGGGAAGTTTGAATGTGCTTAAGATGTTTAAGGTAAAACCTTAACTAAGAAAAGAGAGTTATGACTTAAAAGTCTAGCATATATTCTTTAGATGCTTAAAATTCAAGGTCCGTGCCCAACATTTCCAATCAAAGAATCTCATGTAGCAGCAGTTGGAAATTGTATTTTATGATATGCTGGTGAGTTTCTGGTCAATATTAAACTGATAATCTAACCAAATATGTTAATCCATGTATAGCTTGATATCTAAAGGGGGAGCCCTAATTTGCTGAATATCAAATCCCTACTGAAATAATCAGTTTAGTGCTTAAGTAGTTTCCTTAAATACTTAAATCTAAAAATCATATCAAAATAAGTATGTTTATATAATACAGAATTCAAATACATTTTAAATTTGCAAAAAAAATCTTACATATATTTTAAGCTATTTACTGTGGGAACAATTATCCTTATCCAAGATAAATAACAAATTAAAGATTTACAAATAGTCTCATTTTGGAAAATGAAAAATGGAAGCACTGTCATTGTATTAATGCATGGCCCGTTAGTTAGATCAACAGTGGACACATTCCCAATACCAAGAATGATTTAAAAATAAATTAAAATAGCAGAATACTATAAAACATGTAGCTTACTTTGTGCTTTTTCACAGAAGTTTATCTGAAAGCCTAAAGCAAAAAAGATAAGTTCTAGTTCATTCACTGGAAATTACAGATGTTCATAACCTTTAAAATCACATTTAATGTTTATTAAAAAAAATTAAGATACCAAATAAAAGGTTTAACATAGGTAAAATAATATCTGAATTGCAAAGAACAAATTCCATTAATTTTCTTATTGGTATCAATTGCAATCTCCTTAGAATACTCCTGCAACCTATACTGAGAATAAAATTTTCAGAATGGCAATGGAATTTGAAGTTCCAGAGAATCTGGAGTCCCTTAGCTTAGGAAAAGCTTATCTATTAAAAACCTGTTGAACTATTCTGTCCAAAACATTTGTAAAGGATGACATGAACATCCAGATCAGATCAACTGATAAGAGGTTGCATATTAGTTGTTAATTTAAAAACAGAAAGTTAAAAATAGCTAGTGAGGTTTCCATATGATGACTTCTGTGGCAACATTCTGAAATTTACAAATAAGTTTTTTTCCAGGTTACCTTAGGTTTCATTGTGATGCATGGGTGAGAAACTTTTTGAATTAATGATTGCACTCAGACTGAAAGGCACAATAATCACACTGTGCTCTGAGTATGGAAACCAGATTATGTGCTGGTAGATGCTAAGGTTTCCAATTTAAAAGGCAAGGGAAAAAAGATAATCTGCATAGTAGCAGATGCCACATCCTTCTATATACAAAGGAAGTGGAAATCCCTCTTTTTCCCTATTATTAACACAAGCAAATCAGGAGGAGTAAATTTGGGGCTATGTGATTATAAGTGGCAAATAAATGCAGCAGCTTATTGCCAGACAGCACAGAAAACAAATTGTGGGTGACAATAGAAGTCACCAAGGACAGCAGCTAGAAACAAGCTATGGGTATTAGCAGCAAATTGGGGGAGAAAGACTTCTCAAAATTGTGGACAGAAACAGACATGAAGTTAGAAGATAGATTGAATAGAGAACATGTATCAATAAATGTTAGTAGCAATTGAAAACTGCTACCAATATGCAACTCACAGATTATTCCCCATGACTTTAAAACAGAGGTGGGGAATTATGACCCTTTTAATCACTTGTGGACTTCAGAGTTGGCTGGCATGGCTCAGGAATTCAGGGAGTTGAAGTCCACACGTCATAAAAGGGCCATCATTCCCCACCCCTGCTTTAAAGGATAGGGATTGCCATTTCTACATAAAAAGGTAGAATTTCCTGCCATTCAATAGTTGTGTAATTCATATAACCAGAATTATATTTTGCATAAATTCCAATTCTGTTTCTTCAACCTTTATGAAATTAGGCAGATATTGATTTTTACCTTGTTTGGTTATTTTCCCAAACTGCTTTATGTTATTTTTGCTGGTTTGAAGGATTAGCTTTCCTTGAGTTACCAAAATTTCTTTTAAGCATCCTCTGCATGTTTTTAAGGCTACCTTCGGAGGTATTTTAAGCTTCAGGTTTATGAATGCTCCACCCAGGACCAATCTCTTGCTTGTCAAAGAACTAAGACTACTGCATTCGGAAAACACATAATATCTCTTAAAATAATGCTTTATTTATTTCTTAGATTTCTATGTCTTTGGTAGCTCAAAGCATAAGACATGGCACAAGGTAATAGCCCTTATTTTGTCATTTTAGGATTGAGAATTAAAATTGTAATAACTTGGCAACCTATAGAATTCCAAGATATTTTAATGACAAATTCAACTCTAATTCTTAGTATACTACAATATCCAGAGGCAAGCGGTTACTTGAGGACATTTTTACAGTGCTGTAGATACAGATATGAGAATTTATAGTACTCTTCTTTGATAACTCTTGTGACCTCAGCTACCATCATTTAATAAAATATGTTTGAAAACATGTTAGCTTTGAAACAGTACCAAATGACCCTTCAAAATTCAGAAGCAAAACGTTAATATAATAATCAAAGGTACTGTAAAAAGCCTTTAATCATGAAACTCTATTTAGCTATGGGCTATACTATCTTTATTATTAAATATAATTTCAGGTCACACTTAATGAACTATTGGTATAAGGAATAAATATAATCAAACATTACAGACAGCTTCTGGTTCAGTAACAGCTCAAGAGTTGTAGCATCATAAATGGTGTTGGTTGCTTCAAATTGTATTCAAGTTATTTTATTTACTGTTACTGGAATCTGACAAATTGAAGATTTGAACTAGCCTTTCTATCATATAATCACAGTGAAGGGTTAAATCTGAAGGGAAATTTGTACCATATTATATAAATTCATGTCAGCCAATAGGAGTAAGAAAGTACACCACCTGATAGTTGACAATGTGCATTCCTGCGTACGCACAATCTGAAAATTCTATGTAAACTCATAGGTGCAGTTAAATGTTCTGTTCATGTTATTACATGAATTATAATTAATAGTGACAGAAAACCTTTGCTCTCAAAAGTTTCAGACACTGGTTCACAATAGATCTCCATAATTAGTCTTCTAAAAACCTGGATGCAAATACGATTGCAAAAAGGAAACAAGGGATATAGAAGCACGAGCAAATCAAAAGGAAAGAATCATTTCTCAGCTATGACTACCAGTTAGAAAAATATCAAACTAATCATAATTAATTTTTTAAAAAATTGAAACATGAAAATTTATACTCTCTGAAGTTCAACCAAGCTAAGGGAGACATAAAGAGTACCAATGATGAAACTCAAATAATATGCTAAGAGAGCACCAGGGCAGAGACAGGGAGAAGCAAAAATATAGCTGTGAGTAAAGAACACAAATACAATTACAATAGTGTCATTATATAGTACTTTAAACTCTATAATTACTATAAGCTTAATAGATCCAGGGGACATGCCAGGAACATAGTGATCGTTGATCTTAGCAAAGCTTTTGACAAAGTCTCTCATTATAACTTTATTCATAAAATATTAAAAAAAACATGAACCAGATGATACAACTGTTAGATGGATTCATAATTGGCTGCATACCCATTGCTAGAAAAGGCTAATAAATAGTTCCCTAGCTAGTGGGAGAGTAGCATCAAATGGAAAGGCAGAGCTCCATTCTGAACCCAATATTATTCACCATGTTTATTAATCACCTAGATTAATGGCTATGGGAATGATTATAAAATACAGTCTTGGAGAGTAGGCTAAAACAAACAAGAACTTCAACAGGGAGAAATATAAAGTCTTGGATCTGGGGAGAAAATATTAAATGGGGGAGATCTGGTTTGCCAATAGTTCACATCAAAAGGATTTTTGTTTTAGTAGGTCACAGGCTGAATAAGAGCAAACAATGAGCTACAGCTGCTAAAAAGCTAAATGTTATTTTGGGATGTATTAACAGAAGCACAGATTCAGGATCACAGTGAGTTACTGTCGCGCTCTACTTATGTAACACCAAAGGTGCTTTCACAATTGAGCCAGCCATCTCATTCAAGCACTTTGGTTCTGAGAGGCCAATAGCAGCTAGAAAATTAGGTCCCTTTGCTGCTGCCTCACACCCCTTTATAACAGCCAGTGTTGCCCTTTCCACCAGGGGAGGGCTATGGGGAAAATCCTTGTCACATCCTCAAACTCTTTGCATGTCCCATTTTTCACAAAAAAACGGGGCATGCAGATGAGTTGCAAGGCCTGCAGAGTGCTCCCAGGGGCTGGGGAGGGCAAAAACATTCTTTTTAAAAAAATTACCTCTTCAAAATCTTGGTGCATCTTACACTCTTATAGTCCAAAAAATACGGTACTTCCTTCCCATATCTATTGGAACCAGTCACAGAAAATAAGTCACACTACAGTACCAACATGGCCCTAAAAATCCTCCTTCACCTCCAACTACCAAACTCCATAGCCAATCTAGAGAGGTTCTAGGATGAGTGGTATCAACAGTCGTTAAGAAGCAGGATGCTTGTATCACCTCAACTGGTTCTGTCAAAATTCATTGGCAAGCATAACCAATTTTGTCCCTATATCATGTCCCAGCCTGAAACTCAATACAAATAGGTCTAGATAATCCACTTCCTCCAGAGTCCTCAGCAACCTTATTCAATGGAGACGGGACAAAAACAATAATACTGTTATACAATACAATAATAAATGTAGGATCCAGCAATGGCTTCTTGAATAGGGAGCACATCACCATCGTTTAGTATGGAAGACACTCATTACACAGCTCTATTCTTTTCCTTTGTGAGCAATTAATCATCCCTGGTTCATTCTAAAAACTACCTAAACCTATCTAGGGTGTGCATGTGTTGTTCCCCACTTAAATACAGGGAGGGAAAAGAAACATCAAATCTTCTCCAAAGGAGGCAGCAACCAAGACAAGTCTATACTTGTTACAGTAGAATCATGCATTTAATAAGCAGCATGATTTTTGACCTTGAACCACAATTTATGACTTGCATCCAAGGATCTGTACGCGTTATTAAGCATTCAGGCTTCCTTACTCACTTGAGTTATTAATACACACCTTGTATCCAACTGTATGTCACCTACCATTGAAATAAGTGGGAGAAGCACTTCTGAACATTTGTGAGCTGGTATAGTTGTTGAAGCACCAAAAATCTCACAAACATTCAGAGACTAAAAAGAAAACTGATCTCTTAATATTTGGTCATAACTAGAATGATGGTATGAAGCTTACGTAGACAATGAAACTATTTGATTCCTATATTAAGAACTATCTAAATTTTCTTTTTCTACTAAGCTTCTATTATAATGCATATAAATTATGCATATTTAACAATTTAAAAACTGGGAATCACTGTATCAATAAATTTTAGAAGGTATATAACTTTCAGTGAGAATAAGGCAGGTTTCTGGAAGAAATAATACATGGAAAGTCTTGTTGCATGAAGTTGGATTTTTCCCAATTATTTTTAAATAGTGATTTAGTGAAGTTTAATTTTCATTCATCGCAGCTAATTATACTGTACTGTGCAATGAGCACCATCTTGTTTTGAGTATTAAATGTCTTGGGAGATTCAGTTCTAGTCCTACCTTAGACGCAAAGCCAGCTGGGTGACCTTGTGCTAGTAGTCTCTCTCATCCCTAGGAAGGAGCAATCGCAAACCATTCCTGAAAAATCTTGCCAAGAAAACTACAGGGACCTATCCAGACAGTCTCCAATAAACAAAAATGATTGAATGGAAGAAGAAGGAAAAAAAAGACAGCAATATACAAGTATTTAGAACTTAATCCAGCACCTCCCTCCCCAATCAGGAACAGCCAGCTGTCTTTGGATAATTTATTTGAAGTAAATACAAGACTAAGAGCTTCCAATTTGATTACAATGTCTTTCAGACAAATATAGAAAATGTTAAAGTAGAGAATGCCTCACAATAAACTATTAGTTGCAATAAGCAGATTTTGAAAACAACTTTAACTAAGATGTTTTCCCAATTTAATATATTATAAATCAAAAAGTCCTATCAATTCAACACATTGTTTCTAATATCCAGGGGCAGTAATATTCTATACTATGAGACAAAACATGGAAGTAACTAAAGCATAAATGCTACAAAGTAATTGTTTTCTATAACATCCACATGCTGAAAAATTGGTTCAATTCAAATACTGGATTCTCAAAGTCCTTTTTCTGCTATAAAAAACCAGAATATTCCTACAATTATTTTCATGTCAGTGTATGAGACTACCAGAAATAAGAATAACATTTTATAAGCAAGTGAATACTATTCTGCTGTTTAAACTTACACTAAGATTCTAAATAAAAGATACTGGACATGTAATAAAAAGCTCTTGCATGGCAAGAAATTCCCTCAATTTGCTTGTTGATATACCCCTTCTAGAAATTAGACTAAATCAAAATTTGGCTACATATGGTAACCAGATACCCTTCTATACTTAACCTTCTATAGGTTAATCAGAGGTGGCAACCTGTGGCACTCCAGATGTTACTAAATTACAACTAGTATTTCTAGGAAGCACAGTCAATGTATTTATACTACGATAAGGTTTGTGAGACAAAACTGTCATATAATTTAATCATGAGTAAGACTAAACTAACCAGAACAAAATGTAATTAATGTACTGTATTAGTGCCTTATTCCATCTAGTGCAGCTTCTAAGATAAATTAATGTGTTCCAAACTAGATTTTACAGTAATACAGAGAGTTGCTGAAATACTATATTACATATTTCTCCTTCAAATAGGTTTTGAATACTATCTTGACCTTACTTTGATTATTCTTATATTTCACAATACAGTAGTACTATTGCTTCAAACACAAAATTTGTATATTAAGCAGAACATAATATATTATCTGATAGTTTCAAAAACATTTTAGTGCATTTTTAATGCAAGGAAAAGTCAATCAGAGTTTTCTAGCATCTAATGAACACTTTATGTAATTAATTTAGTCAACCACTGGCTTGAACAATTTAACATAATCAATATCCCAATAGTAGCTACTCTTCTAGGCTCATAGTCCTAGCATTAGAGATCCCCTGAAATAGAAATACTATTAAAACAAAGATCTTAATATGCTTTACAAAACATAGCACTCTTTTCATAGAAGTGGTTCCAAAGCCACAGTTGCATTATTAAAAACTACCTGCCCAACATCTGCTAGTGATCAATTGGCTTTGAGGAATATGCATATTTTGCAATCTCAGTATGGTAATACTAAACTAAACTCATATTTATTATCATATTGTCGTGACATTCCAAATACTGAATTGATCAGAAATAGACCATTAAGGAACTAAAGATAAGAGTTATACAGTAGTGAAAATATGCTTCTACCTTTATACTGTATTTCAGAATGGTTTTCCTAATACCGATATCATAGTGACTCTAAATCATAGTAAATAGAAAGAGTGTATTTCTGGATTTAACCAGAAATTCACGATGGCAACCTGAAGCTCCATATACAGATCCTGAAAAAGGGAGCTCTCAACGTTCTACACATTATTGCAATCAATAATAATCGTCCTCTTTCCTTTCCTATAAAGAGGAATGCTCAGAATCGATTTCTTTTGCCTTTTACATTCCACTTACCGTACCTATCTTCGAATTTCTCAAGGCAACGCCTCACTCCTTTATTCATTTCGCCCTCTTAAAGCTACATCACCGCTTCCTCCTCCATGACTCCACACAAACACGCCTTACTACCTAGAGAGCATTATACCACACACCTCACCGAAGACCTGCTGTAACCCTCTCCCTCCCCACAACACTTCACACCCACACACAGCAATAAGCCCCCACCACGGCCTCTCGGTTTGTTCAGTCGTTGCATTCACACAGTCTCGTCTTCTGCACCAGATTCGGGCATTTAGCGTCCCCGAATTTACCTCGCGGGGCGAGTTAAAAAAAAACAAAAACCCACTTCCCTCGTTCCCGAAAATTTACACATCGGTTTGTTTCAGAGGTCCGATTTTGCTAGTGATCGCCTGCTTTCGACTCCAAACGTGGTTTTTTTTTGCACGCATATTTATATATACACGCTCCCCCTCCACTCCCCTCCTCCAATACTGTACACACGTACTATATAGTTCGTTCATTCCCTCGTTCTCGGGGCCCATAAACTCTTCTCGCCTTGAACCTCTTTAACACTCTGCCCAGCACCACCACCACCACCACCCCCGTTTCGCCTCCCTGCATGCACACTACACCCCCCCCCCAATGTACACTCCGTAAAGCTTGGGAAGGGGAGTCTTCCCGGATTCGCCAGGGAAGAACTCAAGCCTCCACCTCCTCCTGCCCGGGACGCGCTTCTAGGCCTATCATCCTCCAGAGAGGCCTGGTCCTCCTTTACCCAGCTCTGGCGCTCCCTCCTGTCCCTACCGGCAGGCGAGCGAGCGAGCGAGCGAGCAGGCGAACGAGTCCAAGGCGAAGGCCGGCGGGGGTGGTGGTGGTGGTGGAAGCGCGGCCTATACAGAGCCTCTGGATTGTCGCTCGGGGCCCCGGGGGCCGCTCCCGAGGCGCGCTCCCTTACCCTGCATGCTGCTGACTGTCGTCTGCGCCGCCTGCGACCCGGGGCCGGAGCCAGAGCCGGGACCAGGGCTGGGAGCCGCCATTGTGCAGCGCGCCAGCCGCGGAGGGAGGGAGAGAGAGGGACGGCGGGGAGGGAAGGAGGCTGCAATGCAGCAGAAGCAGCGCAGCGGACCGACCCCCTCCCCGTCCCGCGCGCCTGCCCGCCCCCGGCTCCTCGCGCGCGCCCGACTCGGCCCCAGGCAGCTGGCCTGGGACACCCAGAGTCCCCGACTCGGGACGACACAGGCGCCAGCCTCCCAGGCCCCGACCGACCCAAACCGTCGTTGCTCCTCTCCTCTCCGCGCTGTTGGGGCTCCCGTCTGTGTTGTTTTTTTTTCCCTCCGTCGCTCCCTCCCACCTCCGCGGCCCAAGTATAACCCCTCCCAGGCAGCGGGCGGAACGGATGATGCCTCTGAGTCCTTCGCCCAAACAGAAGGAGCCGGAGGAAGGACGGAGGAAAGGGAAGGAGCCGCAGGGTGCGCAAGTTCTCAGCCTTAGCCGGGCATGCCGCGCTCCCCTTCAAATGGGAGCGCCTTAGATATTACCCTGGGGGGGGGGGAGAGATTGCGCAAAGCGAAAGGGCTGCTTGCAGAAAGAGGCTTTGCCGACCTCAAAACGTGAAGTGCTCTGCTTCGAACCGGCCTCTTAAACCAGCAGCGGGTTGCCTTTAAAGGCACAAGCCTCTCCGCCTCGCATCGCCTTTTAGGTTGCAACGCCTGGGTGTACAAAACGTTTTAAGCGTGGTTTAAGCGGGATGGCGTGAGGAGGAAGGAAGACCATTCCTTGACAGAATATGTAACTAGATCTCTAAGAGATCAAGAGGACACAATCCGGTTCTGCAGAAATCGAGCCTGTGAATTATTCTGTCCTGCCTTGCCTTAATTAAAGGTGGTCCTGCGCTTCCAATGGGATATTTTACACTGGGAAATATATTCTGGTGAGCAAAGCGTTTTAAGGAACATTATTCTGCATTTTGTTATCTGCTTCTTCAATGTTGATATTTACAGCGCTGTAAATTAATTAACAGGGCACTCCTAAAAAAAATATGCTGTACACTACTTGTCCACCTAGGGTTTCAAGATTACAAATAGCAGAAACCGGTTACAGTACAATTATTCTTGTAATTGAACCTTAAAACATTAGAACCCAACACAGTTGAAATCAATATCTTAACATATTTATAAAAATATGTATTTATTTAAAACTTATTATTCAACCCCCCTCAAAAGACAGATTAAAATGAGATTAAACTGGAAGGTTTGAAAACTTCCTGGAAAAAAAAGCTAATGAGAAAGTGCAAAGGGCTTCTTTGAAGGTTTTTCTAGCCTTTGCCTTGTATTGCTCACTGTATTCTCAACATATGCAATCTTTCAGGTAGTCATTTTTATTATTTTCTAATGATTAGATACATACTTTTACCCTATTCAAGATCTATTTGGATTTATTTACAAGAAGTCCTCAACATACGACCACAATTGTGCCAAAATATGTTGTTAAGTGAGACATTTGATAAGTGAGTTTTGCCCCATTGTATGACCTTTCTTGCCACAGTTGGTAAGTGAATCACTGCAGTTGTTAAGATAGTAACATGGTTAAGTAAATCTGGCTTCCCCACTGACTTTGCTTATCAGGTCACTAAAGAGGGTCACGTGACCCAGGGACACTAATAAATAAGAGTCAGGTACCAAGCGTTGACTTTTGATTATTTGATCATGGTGGTGTGGCGAGTGGGGAAAATTGTCATAAGTCGCTTTACAGTGCCATTGTAACTTTGGTCATTAAAGAAACTATTGTAAGTCGAGGATCACCTGTATTTATATAAAAATATTGGAAGTCACTTCTTTGTATCTTTTTTCTTTCTTTTCTATTTTTCCTTTCCTTTCAAAGTGGATTTTTATTTCCATTTACCTTTTATCTTCCTTTTTCAACATTTTAAACATATATTTAACCCCCAGATTGCACATCACTCCTGAATGGAGAAGTGGAACCTTACCCAAAAGTAAAGATAGAAGGTCCCCAAATCTAGGTGGTCCAGCAACCACAGCTGCTCAATGCTTGGCTGATTTGGAGTAGGTTTCTCTCTATTTAGGCCTCCACTGGGATAAGATTTTAACAGCCTCACTTAGCCAGCCTGGGGCTGTGAGATATAATAACCTCACCCAGGAGTTTCATGTAAATGTTGATTAGGAGGAGGAGGAGTGTGGGCACCTCAAAAAGAAAGGACTTAGGGACCCATTCAATGCCAATGTTCTGACCTAAGCTTCACCAAAAAGCATAAAGCAAGATTCCTGGTCCTGACAAAACCCTTTTATTCAATGAATGTGAATTCCTGTCATTTACATTCAGCAAAGGCCTGGTAAACAATCTTTCAAACCTTATCTAGCTTGGAAAGTTGCCATGTAAATATTTTCCAAGTGCAGTGCTGTGCAAGGAAAGACTTGGCCCAGAGTCTCTTGAGTTTCACAGACAGATCTTCATTCTCCTGAAATGAACAAACAAATTGTTTCCTGCAAAAGCCCATTTCCCTTTCGCTCCTATAGGAGGGCCATTCACCGTCTACCTGTGGCTTTACTCCCAAGTCGGCCCTAATTTCTGAGCTATTCTTTTCTTCTGGCAGCTCTGCACATGTACAAACTGGGAACAGGTTCCAGCTGTTCCTCTGCCTCACTGCTGTCTAACTCTGAAGGCAGCTGAGAACTTCCAGACGTCCTTGGCCCCATCTCTGCCTCTAATGCAGAGCCTCGTCCAAGACTTGGCCAGCCTCCAGGACTGTCCCATGTCCCTCCCCAACCTCCTCACTGTCCAACTCTGCTGCAGCTCCACTGGCTGTTGGCGGGCAACAACAGCCAACTGGAATCAATTCTGAAGAAGAAAGAGAACTAGGGGAAAGCATTGCACATTGTCAACCCCTTGAGCCAGTTCAGAAGAATATGGTCAGTGAATGAAAGCCAATGAGAGATCATGGAGCACAAGGATGAGTGCACAATGGAATGGGTGAAAGGTCTGGGAGTACATTGCAAATAAATGAATTTCTTTTGTAACAATTGTCTTCATTACATTTTGAATTCCTACTTAACATAAGGAGGTGCTATGCTGGGGAAATCAGTATGTACATTTTTTAAAATTTAGCCTAAAACTGAAAGGGCAAGAATTTAAAAATGAAATTAGAATATCAGAAGAAGATCATTAATTACAGTGCATTCAGAAAGTATTCAGACCTCCTTCACTTTTGTCAGTTTTGCTGTGCTACAGCCCGATTTTACAGTTATTGAAATTCATTTTTTCCCTCATTAATCTACACTTAGTACCCCATAATGACAAAGTGAAAACAGAGTTTTAGAAATGCCTGTAAATTTATTTTAAAAAATGAAATATCACATTGGCGTAAGTATTCAGACCCTTTGCAACAACATTGAAATTTAGCTCTGGTGCCCCCCGCCCATTTCTCTTAATTGTTGTTGACAAGTTTCTACATTTTGAATGGAGTTGACCTGTAGTAAATTAAATTGATTGGACATGATTTGTAAAGGCACACATCTCTCTATAGAAGGCTTCATAGCTGACAATGCGTAGCAGAGCAAAAGTCTTGAGGTCAAAGGAACTGCTTGCAGAGCTCAGAGGCAGGATTATTGCAAGGCACAGATGTGGGAAAGGCTGCAATAAAATTTCTGCTGCACTGAAGGTTTCTAAGAGCACAGTGGCCTCCATAATTCTCAAATGGAAGAGGTTTTGTACAACCAGGACTCTTCCAAGAGCTGGACACCTAGTCAAACTGAGTAATCGGGGGAGAAGGACCTTCATAAGAGAAGTGACTAAGAAGCTGATGATCATTCTGACTGACCTCTAGAGATCCTGTGTGAAGATGGGACAGAGTTCCAGAAGGACAACCATCACTGCAGCCCTCCACAGATCTGGACTTTATGGTAGAATCAGTGCAAAACACATGAAAGCCCACTTGGAGTTCACAAAAAAGCATCTGAAGGACTCTCACACCGAGGAACAAGATTCCATGGTCTGATGAAACCAAGATTGAATTGTTTCACCTTATTTCTAAATGTTATGTCTAGAGAAAACCAAGCACTGCTCTTCCATCCTAAGAGTGAAGCATGGTGCTTCTCAGCAGCAGGATCTGGGAGACTGGTCAGGGTTGAGGGAAATCTGAACGGAGCAAAATACAGGAATATCCTCAATGAAAACCTGTTCCACAGCACCCAGGACTCCAGACTGGTATAAAGGTTCAGTTTCCAACATGACAGCAATCCTAAGCACACACCCTAGGCCAGTGTTTTTCAACCTTTTTTGTGCAAAGGCACACTTTTTTCATGAAAAAAATCACGAGGCACACCACCATTAGAAAATGTTAAATTTTTTTAACTCTGTGCCTATATTGACTATATATAAAGTAATTTTCCCACGGCACACCTTACACTATGTCACGGCACACTAGTGTGCCGCGGCACAGTGATTGAAAAACACTGCCCTAGGCAATACAGGAGTGGCTTAGAAACAGCTCCATGAATGTCCTAGAGTGGCTCAGCTAGAGCCCTGACTTGAACCCTAATTAAATATCTCTGGAGGGACCTGAAAATGACTGCCCACCATCCAATTTGGGCTTGAGGGGACTTGCAAGGAAGAATGGCAGGAAATCCCTAATCCAGGTGTGCAAAGCTTGTGTCATACCCAAAAAGACTTGAGGCTGTATTGGCTGGCAAAAGTGCTTTAACACAGTACTAAGTGAAATATCTTAATACTTATACCAATGTGATATTTCAGTTTTTTTCTTTTTAAAAAATGTATAGCTGTTTTTTTTAAATTCTGTTTTCAGTTTGTCATCATGGGGTATTGAGTAGATTAATGAGAAAAAATGGACTTCAACAACTGTAGAATCAGGCAGCAGCATAATAAATTGACAAAAGTGAAAGGGGTCCGAATACTTTCTGAATGCACTGTATGTTTGCGCCAAAACTCACATTAACCACATTAGTTAGTCATTTACCTCCAACAGCCGGTTAGAGCCAAAACTACAGAAATTTTAATGGCAATAAATAATTCATTGCAATATAAACAACAAATAAAACACTTCTGCAATAAATAAAAGATGTTTCAGTCATCTAATGTTCAATGTTTCCACATATTCCTTCCTTACGATTTTATTGGCAGCTCATTAAGTGATTTTTAAAATAAGTTTCAAAGAAACGGTTGGTAGATAGTCTTCAGTCTTGACAATGAAAGTCGAAGTTGTTCCTACTTGAAAAGGAAGAAACAGTCCATTCAGCTTCGCAACTCTGGCTTCCTTCCACCAGTCATCAAGGCCTGACTGTTTATTTACAAACAGAAGATCCAAAGTCGCGTCTCCAAATTAGCTGCGTATCAGTAGTAGGCTGTCACGGCTGCCACACTACATGCATTAGTTGTCCACATCTCGAGCCCGCTGAAAAGAAGACAAGAGGCGGGATTCCAGCTACTTTGGTGGGACGTCCAGAGCGCTGGTGGGCGTGGGAAGAGTGGGTGGGCTTTGAAAGAAGGTTACGCTTAGGGCCGCGTATACCCAGCGGGGCGGGCTGGAAAAAGCAAGTCGTAATTCCGGGCAATGGAGACTGAGTGTTTTGCTTCGCCGCCTCTCCCGGGTGCCAGCCGGCTTTGGAGGCTCAGCAACCTAATCATGGCCGTCTTCTTCGGGCTGGCTGGAGCCGTTCAGGTCTGGCTGGGCTGGATGAGTATTTCTGTTGAGAGGGACAAAGGGTGCGCGGGAGCTGGGCAGTTTAATCTCTTCAGTAGCGCAGGCGAGAACTCAGTGGCCGAGGGGCAGAACCTGAAAGGATCCCAAGTTGGGGAAAGACTCGAATAATGAGATCGTAAGAGAAGGGAAAGTTTCCCCTTCGCCCGTTCCTCCACCGACTCGAGCGGCGAAAAGAGACGGGGGCGTAAACTCCACAGAAAGCTTCGCAAGAGAAGCCACTTTAAAAGCGTAAACTGTCAAGACTTCCAACTCCTGGCCACTCTTGGAAGCATCGCCCGTCCCTGTAATTATCTTGGCAACAATAAGAAAGTGGTTTGCCAAGTTCTTATTCTGAGATATTTTTCGATGTGCCGATCTATTCTCCAACCTTGGACTTTCCGGTGACCTTAGCTGCTCAGGTAAGGGTCTCTCCCCATTTATCCAGCTGAAAATACCATTTCCCCCCTCCTTTTGCAGAATTGGCTTCATTTCCTCTCCCCTCCAAGAGCGAAGCTGGAATGGCCCCAAAGCAGATTTTTTCTCCTTAATCCAACACTCAAGATATGTAAAAGCTCCTTTGCTTCTCACTCATTTATCTTGGGGATGGATCAAGTAGCGAGTGGACATATTAATGGAGGGCGGGCGAGCTTTTTTTCAGTCTAGTTTCAAATCAGCCTCTTTTGCCACCATCCTGCTATTTTATCCCTATCCACAATTTGTCACCTGAAAAATCCCAAAAAAGTATTTGGTGTGCATTCTTGCTAAGAAACTATATGGAAAGGCCCTTGTAGTCACGAAGTTTCAAACACAACTTGAAGGTGATTTGATATTGTTTTTTAAAATGAATACTGCAGACTGTGATGGAGCCACCATTGAGTTGGCATCAGTCAGATTTGTCACAGGGTGCACACAGTTTGACTGTAAACGTCAAAAGAGGAGCCCATTCTTAGAGGTTTGCAGTTTCTTTCCAGTCCTCATGTAGTTTTCAAGAAATAACTTTTGCTGATGATCTTTTATCAATGACAAAAGATCTCTAGTAAGTCTTCCACAGATTGAGCAAGGAAAGCTGATAGTGATTTGTTCTGACTCCCACCTTGCCCATTCAGAAACGAAAGTCTAACAGAACGTTCAAAGGAATGTTTTTATCAGTCCCGGCTCTTGCTGGCTGTGAGCCCAAAACAAACACAGATAAATGCTCTGGCAAAAGTCCTAACTCATAAACTCCTACAAAACAGGATTATATAAATCAAGTCACTTATTCAAGTGCTTTTCTCGATGGAAAACAGGATTATATAAATCAAGTCACTTATCCAAGTGTTTTTCTCGATGGTTGCACACGAACGGAGAACGTTGACTAGAACAAAAACGGAACGGAACATAACATTGACTTCTGCAACCAGGGCGTGGCACCAGAAGTTGCTTTATACTCAGGCGAGGATCCCAATGAGCAACAGCTGCTCGCAATCATCTCCTGTATCTCCTCCTTTGTCCTTTATGCTGAGTAGACCTAAGCCTGCTTGCCTCTTGATACAACTCCCAAATACTTTCAGGAACATTCCCTTTGATCCAATGCTCTGCCGCCACCTGATGGCCAACCAGTCTCTCCTCGCCTTGCTCGGAGTTGACACCCTGTCCAGGCTCCTCCACATCCTCCAAGGCCAACTCATAAGACCACTCGCTGTCGGAGTCTGGCAACAGCTCTAATGGCTCCTGCTGGGCCACAACAGTGATTTATGGTTCATCTTGAAGGATTTTGATTTTATGTGCTATTCAATATCAGAGCATGATTATAGCAATGATTTTTTACTTTATTTGTTGCAGATCAATGATCCTGATCCTGGACTTTGGATAGTGAGTATAGATATGGTTTCGTCCCTAACATTATGTCCTAACACTTTTACTGGGGTAGTACTTTTTTTTTAATCCCGCCTTTATTAAGGTGCTTATCAGACCAGACCAGAGATCAGCCATGATTGGTTAGATGCTGCCACCTGCTGCATCTAGAATAAATACAAAATTGGGCCTAAAAGCAATTAATAATGGCATCTGGGGGCAGGAACTTAAATGGCAAAAGATGGTTTTTCAATTATTATACTGAAATTTCAAATTAAATGCATGCCACTAGTAAGTAAATAGATTTTATTTATTATCAAAGGCTGCCGTACACGAATGAGCAAAATATCGTCCTGTTGTACACTTGCACAATAAGAACTGTAATTGCACTTTTGCTGCCATTGCTGAACAATTTTCAAAGCTAACCATTCGTAAAGCAACCTAATTTAGAGCTTCCTTAAGAGTTCACAGCTGGTATACTGCATCTGCTTCTAATGGTGCAAATACTATGAAATGAACTTGAATTACTAATAACAAAACTGAACATGACATCTAAATTACAGTTCTCCTATATGCAGTCTACTTCTCCACATGGACTGATTGTTTCCCCAAGCAGACAAAACATTCATAAGAAATAATAATTTCACCTGTGATCATCACATTCAATTGGGTAGGTCTGTTCGATGGTGCGTGGTTTCTTTGGTGAAACTTTTTTTGTGAAACGTCAATGGTTTAAAAGGCCTCTAAGCACAATGGAGCTTTTTTCCTCTTCTAAGGTCTTTTTTCCTTAGACAATAAAATACAGCCTTCCAACTTTCCTAGCTCTCCTGGGGATGCAATTTTGGGACTTGTGTATTTATCTAGGCTTTGGGATTGAACACTTTCCATTTTCTTTTTTTCTATCATTATTTATTTATAAAATGCATTTAATATATCTCACTCTTAGGTTGTGTACTCTGTGCCAGCAAGTCTTGCACTGGTAATAAGCCTTAATCCATCAGTCACAGGTATAGTATTATTGGGCAAAAGAGATCACTCTTCTAATGATAGATTCTATGTACTCATCTCTTCTTTGCTTTTTGATAATTTAGAAATAATCTTTTTGCCCCATCTAGTTAACTAAACCTTGTTAACTGCATTCTTAAACCATGAACTTGTATGTGATTGTAAAATATTACTAGGCAATATATTGAACATTGAAATCATAAAGTTGTAAAATGCTAGTACATTCTTCCATTTTTGTTAGATGTTTTTTGGAATATAGTTGATAGTTATAATTATTTATAACTCAATTCCTTTCCTTTTTTTAAAAAGAAATCCTCACAGTTGTGATATTGAAAACAATATAATTGGACATAGAGATGGCTTTCAGCTTAATCAGTTTCATGGGATTTTTGTGAGGATAAAAGCTGAGCAGAGAATAGAGCATATTTCAATTCTTTGGTTGAAAAGGCAGCATTCTATATGCCTAGCATTCTATTTCTTTCACATTTGAGATCTATATTGTGTAAATCCATGTGTTGTTTAGCTTTTCTATTAAAGTCTATATATATCTTGCATATATTTTTGTTATGTTTAGATGTTTTAATCGACGTATTCAAAGTCAATTGAAATCTTATCATTTTTGGTATTCTCTTCTGCCATTCTTTCTCTTTTTGGAATAAAGAAGTCTACCATATACTGACTAACTTCCTTGAGATTTCATACTACATGCTCATTTCCTTATGTGTTATCTGTATCTAATGGGGCCTGTTAGCTACTCTCTCTTTTCAGTATCTCCTATATTTTAAAATTTCAAAATACAGCTGTTTTAGATATTTCAACACGCATGAAAAATGCTCTTCTTGTTTGATGATTTGATTATATGCAGTAAATCCCAAATCTAAAGAATTTTTTCTCTGCAATTGTTATTTGAAGGGTCTTGAAGATTGATCAAGACAAATAAATTCAATGTGCAAATTCCATTGTGATTTGTACAAATAATTCACCACATTTTCCAGATAACATTGTGTGGAGGAGTATATCAGATCTACATTCAACTGCTTGTGTTGTGGGTTCTGCTGTGTTGGGATATTCCTTGTTGACTACTGCTCAAAGTAACATCTTGCACGAGGAAGAAGGCAGGTAAATAATGAGATCTTTTCTGCATTAATTCGTATTTTCATGATCACCATTGTTCTCATTCTTAACACTTGTGAGATCCTTAAGCTACCCTAGATCTAAGGAATTAGAATGATTTAAAGCTTTGAAATTCCTAGAACAAAATTTCTGAGACACATGATATGTTTTGATATGCCAAGAGAATTAATAGAAAGAAATCCTAGAAAACTTTATCCTGCAATCTGAGCCTTGTAATATTTGATACAAAGCATTGAACATAGTCTGATTTTTTTTAATGGTGCACATACATATTTTTTCAGGTTCATCTGTAGTTGCTATTTAATCTACAATAATACAATAGCAGAGTTGGAAGGGACCTTGGAGGTCTTCTAGTCCAACCCCCTGCCTAGGCAGGAAACCCTATACCATTTCAGACAGATTGTTATCCAACATCTTCTTAAAGACTTCCAGTGTTAAGGCTTTCACAACTTCTGGAGGCAAGCTGTTCTGCTGATTGACTGTTCTAACTGTCAGGAAATCTCTTCTCAGTTCTAAGTTGCTTCTCTCCTTGATTAGTTTCCACCCATTGCTTCTTGTTCTACCCTCAGATGCTTTGGAGAATAGTTTGACTCTCTCTGTGGCAACCCCTGAGATATTGGAACACTGCTAACATGTCTCCCCTAGTCCTTTTCATTAAACTAGACATACCCAGTTCCTGCAACTGTTCTTCATATATTTTAGCCTCCAGTCCCCTAATCATCTTTGTTGCTCTTCTCTAGTTTTTTATGTTTTTAATAGAATGTCATATTTTATCATGAAGATGTTGAATGTTACCAGACTATAACCAATCATATATATTTATACATACATATATATACATACATACATACATACATACATACATACATACATACATACATACATACATATATATATATATATATATATATATATATATATATATATATGTACACACGCATACATACATACACGCATATATATGTTTTAATGTAAGAATGTATGACATTGATTGGATAGTGCCCAAGTCAAGTAAAATGCTTATACCTCTTGCCTAAAAAGTCTTTCTTTGCATATAGTTTGTTTTGTGGGATCAATTTTGTGTAACTTACACAGTTGTCTTGGATAAAAACAGGGAGTTATTTGGTCTGGTGATTGTTACTGCCTGGATGAGCCTTTGTCGTAATTCAGCCAAGTAAGTCTTTTAACTTGCCAATTCCAGCTTAGTAATACATTGAAAACTTGTACTTATCCTGACAAATATATTATAATCCTGTGCCAAGGATGATTGATCTTTGCGGTTTTATTATAATTGGAGATTAAGTTCTTTTAAAGAGGAAAGCAAATTATTTAGTCCTTGATATGTATTTAGCATAGAGAACCGAATTTTGCTCAAGTAGTTGAGTGGGGAGACTGGCATTCTAATTTAGTGGTAGAGTTGCCAGACCCAATTGTGGTTACTAAGTGATGATTATCTATATAACTTCTTTATCAGTTGCAAAAATCATGTCAATGTACATTTACAAAATCAAGAATAATTCATATTTCTGAGTTCCTGTTAATTGGCTTGAATTGGATTGTATTTCAGCAAACTCTGCCTGTTTCTTTCCAGAAATTCCCTGGGTGGATTTCATTTGGTCGTTGCAATTTTTCTTTGTCTTTCTCCTTTTGTAATGTGGTTATACATCTATGTGAATACAGAAATGCGAGCATCATGGCCAGCTCACTGTAAAACTGTTATTTAAGTAATGGAAAGCATCAGGTGTTTTCATTACTTCAGAAGTTTTCTGTACTGCTGCCAAATGAACAGGAACCACAATTAAGGCTAATTACTTTCAGTAAAGACCAGTTTCTCTAAAGTGCTTCTGAAGACTGAAAATCCAGAAAACTGAACTCTGTGGATTATGACCTTTGCTTTCAACTGCTTTAAGGCTTTAAGATTTCCATTTTACTGATTGTAGGCTCTTGATACATGCAAGGGCTTGGGCTGAAAGTGCCTCTGTGCCTCATGTTGAAGCCACAGGACTGAAGCCAGACATTACTGAAATGCCTATATGTTGTATGTAATTATGAAATGTAAATAAATATATTAATAATTTGATAAGATGTATCCGGTGTCTCCGAAATTCCATCCAAGCTTCTCTACATGCATCTGCACTATTTGGATGATTAACATACAATTTGTCATCGTTCTGAGTAATGAATTTCGGGAAGTCAGGACTCTGATACTTTGTTCAGGTTCAAGAAATCCTTTATTGAGTACATCATATCTGCACTTAGAAAGGTGAAGCTAGCTCTAAATTATTCCCACGCTTAGGGATAGTTAAAAGAATGAGACCTTCCTACCCCCCCTTTGTCTCTCAGGTCACATGGGCCAATCAGTCCAGATGTGGATTCCTGCCCAACTTCAACAGGTGTCCGTTGACGTAACCTTGGTTCTCATGCCGGCTGGTAGATGTTAGGGCTAGCCAGCTGAGGCACCACATTCCTAAGTCTAGTTACTAATAGTTACTACTCCCCTTGAAGGGCAATCAAGAAACAAAGCAGAAGCAAGTATGCTTGAGCTGAAATCATTTTGCAGGTTGACACAATTCTTAATCCATAACATGGCATATTTCATTTAACAATAGAACTTAGACTTATATACCACTTCATAGTGCTTTACATCCAGTAGTGGGTTATGACCAGTATTCCCTGGTACGGGCATACTAGTGCCTGCTGGGAGCACCATTCCGGTCCTGTGCTTCAGAGGACCTGCCCGCCCACCTGCCGTCCTTACCTGTATTTGAGCTCCTTGGGGCTTCCATGCATTAGCATGGAGCATATGGCGCCTGAGCGACCCTCCGCTGAGCAGCTGGAGCATCGCCGACAGTAAGTACGCATGCGTGCACTGTGCATGTTCATGTGGTGGACGCTGGGCCCCGTTGCAACCGGAGCCCACTAGTTTACATCCCTCTCTAAGCGGTTTACAGAGTCAGCACATTACCTCCAACAATCTGAGTCCTCATTTTACCGACCTCAGAAGGATGGAAAGCTGAGACAACCTTGAGCCTGGTGAGATTCAATCTGCCAAACTGCTGGCAGCCTGTGATCAGCAGAAGTAGCCTGCAGTACTCCACTCTAACCACTGCCCCACTGCGGCTCATTTAATAAGTTGTAGATTAAAATTTGGAGAAGCGTTTGATGTAGTGCTAGGCTCATTTCTCTAAATTATTCTTCACAAAAGTTGTTTTAAGACTCTGTGTTTTATAGAGAGCCATCATATCTGGACTACATATATTTGGATAACTATATGAGATTGCAATAGACCTAGGAAACTATTTTCTTTGGCCAGTACTGTCTGGCTTTTTGCAGCTCAAATATAGTATTCTAATATTGATGTGGAATAGCAAGAACTTCCGTTGTTAGCACTTTTTGTGTTTTGGTCAATAAATCCATACATCTAATTGGATGTAGATAATTCTACAACTCATTTTTAATTGAACAGAGTGTATGAGTTTGACAGTCTCATTCTCCATTCTTCTAGTCAGGAATTTATTCTTCAGTTAAAGTGGTGGTATCATTTCAAGAGAGAGAAAAACGAGAAGCATAATGGTAGGAAGTAGAACGTTAAATAGAACGTTATTTTATTCCAAGATTACAGATGTCAATCCAACATATTAATTTTCCAATCTTCAAATCAACGAACAGAGCTTCCATTCACTTTCCATGTGACACTTAAAGTTGATAGTGTAATTCTCCAAAGAGGAAACATGTGAAAGTAAACTTTTGACAAATAGTTACTACAACATACTATGAGATAAATTCATTTTAATAGGACCTTTTGTTATTGTTGTTTAAAAAAAAATACAGTGTCTCTCATAGTTTTATTCACTATCAGATATTAAAACTGTGTTTTAATTAAAAACAATTGGAAAAATAACAATTTCTAGCCCACGAACACAATAGTACTTAAAATGAAGACTTG